CACGTCGTTGCTAATGTTTATACAAATGTTAACAGAATCATGGGCAATCAGTTTTCTTATGTCAGAACGCGACTAGAATATACTCACATACATTCGATAACAGTTTTACTTTCACATCGCTTTTGGTTTTGAACGACAACGCAATTTGATTTTTCAGGTCACGTTGGTTGCCGATTCGAGTTCCTATGACGATTGATCTATGTACACTGCTGGAACGATGTCCTTTTGGTATTTTCTAGGATTTTGATTACTTTTCTTCTTTTATTATTAAGTGTGTCTTCCGCGTTTTGTTTCTTTTTTTTTTTTTTTTTTTGATGCTTTTATTATTCTTTCTTTTTTTTTTTTCGTTCCGATTTCGATCGTTGAGTTGATAGCAGAATTCTTTCAGTATCGAAAAAAATACAAGATTCACGTGAACTCTTCGAGTAACTCACGTGAAAATTTCTGCCGAAATTTAGTTAGTCTTATTTCGATCTTGTCTGTGTGTATGTAGTTTCGGTAACGCGAAGGCTGTTTAGTTTCTATTTAACCCTCTGTAATAAATCTGAATTCATGTCTCATCGTTCGTTAAATTTCGTTCATTCAAAACGTGATGAATTACAGAGAAGTGAAGTGCAAATCTGAATAAAATTTATAATCATGTAATATGTGTACACGGAAAATATTTAGAGAGTATTCGTTGCAAAACTTGAGTCCACAGTGTCTATTGTCTATTGTAATAAAAAAAATTTATATCGAAATCTAATCTGAACAGAAAAAAAAAATATTGTTTCAATTTCCACTCTTGTATTTCTCGATCTTTTTTTTGTTTTTTTTTTTTTAAATCATTTCCAAATTCTTCATTAATCAATTAGAGCTGTGAAAATCCAGCTTCTGCTTCATTTACAGAGGATTAAAGAAAAAGTCCCCAATATACAACTAATTACCACGATTTAAGCTACGTGCTTATCCATACGACGTCCTTAAACTTTTAAGAGCTTACACATTTGTGTAATGTTATCATTCATTCCACGTATTCCACGTTATAGTCATACATTATAGTCATACATTATCAATTTCTATGTACTCTTCGACTTTTAGTATCTAAACGTTCATAGAATCTTTTGCATCGCGCTCGTAATCGCAAGGTAACACAAAGATCTCTCGGTTAAGCAAGATCGTCCTCTCAGCGTTTTCGTCGTTGATGATTATAGAAAATCATCGATTCGTCCTTGAGAAATGCCGACGGCTGCGTTTCAAGTATGTCACAAAAACGAGCCATCAGCGTCGACGAAGATGTTCGGTGGTTCGTAGACGGGACGGGTTTTTCGTTACGCTAATCAATCAAGGTGAGAAAGACAGAGAGTTTTTCTGACGCAGAGAAAGTTAAAGAGGCTGAAAATCGGCCAGAGAAACATTTCGAAGAAAATTTATTTGCATTCCTGGCTAAATAGAATAATGTAAAACATGTAAATTATAGATATTGACGGGGAATCGATCGATTCGCTTCATCTACATGTTGGACTCATGTGTAAGTCTTTCTACACTGATCGTTTTTTTT